GGTGAAGAACGTCATGAAGGCCATGAAGTGAGGCGCTTGAGTAGAGAGACAATTTTCATGTGCATGTGATCACGTCGATCACAGCTAATACAAAGACGCAAGATGTGAGCAAGACAAAAAGCTGAAAAACAATTATAAAACATTATAAAACATGGAAAAAAAGCGCACCCCCACAGCGTCCCGCTCTCTTTTGATATTCAGGTTTTCATGTGATGTGTTGACTGAGTGTTGGGCTCAAGACGGGTCTTCAGCTACCTTTTTATTCCATTAGCTTGGCCGGAACCTCATGGCAAGATGGATCATTCTTACATTGCTGTGGCACTTGCTGAGTATGCTGTCTGCGGCAGACGAATTTGCAGAGGCATTAGAACATTGCGGTGAAAGGGATGAAGTGTTCAACACCAGTTTGTTGCAGCTTGGAACAACGCTAGCAAGGACACCAACCAACCCATGTGGTTACTTGTTGATTGATACTTGTTCCAATTTGTCTTGGGTTGCAGCAATGCCTGTGCCACCCATTCACATGGGTCTGATTGCTACAGACCTGTGGAAGATGTCATGGCAGAGCACCCTGGAGAAGATGGATATTGCTACTTCAATTCAGTTGCTTTCTATGTTAAGTATGGTGGCCCGACGCCTGACTTTGAAGCAGAAGCTGCAAGCGGAATAACATATCTTCGTCATGGAGAGTACAAAGGACTGAACACAGGCCCGCTGCTAACATACCACTTTGAAGGCGAAGTCATTGCTTCACACATGGATAGCATGCACTACAGCTATGATGACATCTATGCATACTCTTTGGGATTCTTGCAGGGTCAGGGAATCGACTCATGGCGAATGAAGAATGCCACAGATTGGATATCACTGTCTGAAGAAAAGTGTAAAACGATTCAGCAGAGATACAATTTTAGCAAAGCAGAGTTGGTGCTTTCAGATTGGCTGGACTTTAACCAAGTCATTGCAACTATGGCATGTTGCAGTGCAGGTATCTCATGTGCGACAGACGAGAACAACCGACGATTGTCAGGTTTCCAGAGTGTTTCACAATGCAGGCCTGTGACCAGAAGGGATTTTGCGAAGCATCACTACATGAAATGCTTGTTGGGCTACAGGAACTCCGCTGCGGACATGGCATACCTCCACAGCCGAGCTTGTCTGCTGGCTGGTCACCGAATTGGTCATTTCAGTGACTGCCCATACGTGCCCCCTGTCGACTTTTGATCATTTTCATCGTAGGGGCGACTACGTTTTGAACGCGGAGAAGGTAATGGCCCACTCACAACTGATTTTCTGAGGCAAAAGTCAGTGTGCTTGATCTCAAACATGTGTCTTACATGTTCGCGGGGTGCCTTTTCAGTCGAGAACGTTCTCGCTTGTTTGACGTCTAAGTCTAAGTCTAAAGTAATTATACGCGCCCGAGACTTTTTGTGTGCGATTCTGCGAGAGCCTTTTCCTGACAAACACACCTAATTTGATGCTGCAAGCATGCTTTGATACATTCTAGTGTGTCAAAAGTACAAGTTGGTTTGAAGTCTCCGCAAATACTGCGCGGCAGGTGTGTTCTCTCGCAGTGTTTGATCGACAGCGCAATAGCTCTGTGTTCTGCTGGAATTTTGCCCAAAGCAAAGGCAACAGTTTGGGATGGCAGTGCGCCATGCGTTTATGCATGTTTTTAGCTTTCGTGGTTGACGTCACTTGTTGCAAACGTTCTTGATGCTACGCGATGGATGGGGTGGGGTGTGGTGGGGTTCTGTTGACGTCACTTGTGCTTG